GTAATTAAATATAGATTTGTGGGGCTCAAAGTGGTATTTGTGGCCATTAGCATCAGATAGCATCTCGTAATTTTCCGGCAGCCGCCGCCCAAACAGTTCGTATCGTGCTATGGCGAAGGCCTGCGTCAGGGAAATTCACATCATTGTTCGTCTACTCCTTTAAACTGTAGAATTGAATTAATGTTATTTTAATTATTTATATCCAGGCCAATTATAAGTTTGGTTCTTGCTAATTTGCGTTTCTTAATTTTTTTTTATTTCTGAAATTATTTACAAGAGTTTGTTTGTTGGGGTTTTAAGGCGTAAAATATCCAGGTCATCAACGCCTGCAAATTAATTTTGTCAACTCTGGATTAAATTTTTAAGATATTTTAATTTTTTTTTAAACAATTCGTTTGATTTTAAGAAACCTAACACTAATTTTTGCTCAAAATGTTTGCTATTGGAGGTGTAAGTCCTGAACTATTTAGACTATATACGTAAAAAGGACATTCCTGTAAAATGTGGCTGACTTAAGTAAGTGTATTGTTGCAGTGTTGGTATTGTGATGGTGACTGTTTGCTAATGCGATGTGAATGAGTAAGATTAGCAGATACAAGGGTGGTTCTGTGACGGGAGAAAAAGATAGATATCATTTTTATTTTAGAATATGTCCTTAATATTAACTATAGTTCAACTAACTTTTTAGATGTTTTTTTTGTTAGCTAGCTATTTTTTCATTAATGCTTTATGAAATTCAATGATTGAGCTCTGAGATACCTAGGATAGAGTTTCTTGCCGCTTTTTGAAGTTTTTGAGAAAACTAATAAACCTGGTTTTAAGTTTTTGAGAGTGTCACTTTTTTACGGGGTTATGAATTTTAGTAATGAAAAATTTCAAGACAGAAGAGCACAAAGAGAAAACATAAATCAAACCACAGCCAGTGTAGATCCATAATATCTAAGATTTTTCTGATTCTACTTCCATTTGCATTGTTTTTAAGAAGAGGAGAGCAATAAAATGTCTTGAGAGAGAGAAACATACGTTCATACGCCATTGACCTTGGGGGGGGGGGGAGGGGAGGTTTCTCCTACAGGACTGAAAAATAAGGACATCCTCATAAAAAGCAGAAAAAAAGTTATGAAGAATTAAAATTGTTATTTGCGCAGATCTCAAATATCATAAGGTAATTTATGGTCGTTGCGTACAATATTTATTCAATCAGTATTCAGTTTGTACTCTTGATAATTTGAAATGTTTTTAAATTCTCTACGAAACAAGAGAAAATTCATTGAAATCAAACCATTATGATTGACCAGAAAAAAACATTCCTTTCTTTCATTAAATATACTTATTTCTATAAAAGTGACCAGCATATTATGCGAATTATTCATACGGACTTAGTAGTTCTTCATTCTTTTAATACTATATCGAGCTACTTTATTAATTTATATATTTATCTATTTGTATTTATTTTCAAATATTTTTGAGCATTTTGTATAGGATAGCCGCACCTTTATTAAATAATGGACTGGAGTAATTTCATTCCAAGTTGCTCAATATTGTTCAATGAAACTAAACCTGTTCGACACGGCTTGGGTATTTATATTTCAGGTAAAAATTATAACCTGCTTTTAACTTAGCGGGCGCCAAAGGTACACCATACTGCACAGCATCTATTCTTGTTGTAGGTCGTACTGATTTGAGTTAAAATTTAAATAATTAACTTGAAGTTTTATCTTTATTATATAACATCTAGGCCCAACTTTCTGTTGTTACAATCCATTCAATCAGTTCAGACAAGAAAGGATGAAAGTTAGTTGAAATAAATTAGTTAACGAGGCAATATTATATGCGAACATTGTTACTAATTATCTATTTAGCATTATATTATCTTTAAAGTGATCTTTTAGCTCCTTATCATATTATCTGGAACTAGATCGGAACATTGTTTCACGAGATGCTTTCCCCTTGAGATAATTGTAAGATTACCACACGCTGTCGAAGCCTTCCTATCTTCAGAACGTTTTCCTATTTGTTTTGTAGTATCCCACGTCTCTCGATGTTTACCCAGCATAGGTCACGATAAATTTATCACATGGCTATTGATTCAAGGGACAGTTTCCAGCGAGATCTAATTGCTCTAGATGAGTCCCACGTTTGTGAGAACTGCCGCTATCTGATGCGGTCGGGAAAATGGAGTTGGTTGTGAGATAGCGGAGGAGGGTTATCTCGAGGCAAAGACATTCCTGTAGTTCCTAATGGTCGTTGCCTGTCCTTACTTTATTGTTCTGTCTCTCTTGAAGGGGTTCGCACCCTCATTTCGGTTGCAGGACGTACTTTATCGTTGCTCCTTAGTCCTAGATCTGGAAGATAATGAAGTGGGTCATGATAATTAGCTTTTTAATAATTATACTTTTTTGTTTCAGTATGATTTTAATAGCCTGGCCGTATTGTTTTTTTGATAGATCTTTATATATACATGTTTCAATTCGTACTCGAGAGTCAATGCAAAATACAGTTACTTCGCCTTTACTCCTGAGGGTGATCGTTTGAAATTGGTTCACAATTTTATATCCTAGGATTTTATTAGTTTTAAGTAGTGAAACATTTTTTTTTTTATATCGTCTTGGAGTTTTTCTTTCATTGTCGCTTCCTAATTTAGGTTTTCAGTTAAATCATTGTAGGTACCACATTCAAGAAGTACGTTCTAATGTGCACTGTGAGGCTTCTAATTTTCGCAGAATTAGAAGTACCCGTGGTACTCGTGGGAAAATCATAAGATTCCTAAACGGTAGAGGATGACTTCTTCCTGTTTTGATTTTCAATGTAACGTTTTCGATCGCGTAAACGTTTTCATAATTAAAGTTTTGCTGAGCTCATTTCCCATTTATCAATCCATTGTTTCAAGATGAGATGATGCTATATGAGGAAGTTTGACTTGTTGCGCGCACACAAAATTGTTTGGTGTGAAACTGTGCTGAATCGTCAAACATTATTTAATCAGGTTACTGCAAAGTTTGATTATCTTGACTACTTTTTCCAATACACTTAAACTCAATAGTTTGCATGTTTTATGTTGAACTTCATTGATTATGTTCCATTTCTAGTTTCTAAGCATTACTCGTTGCCGATCGTTATCTCCACTAAGTCATGAAGTTCTAATGCTCGTTGCCTTTGATTCATATACTAATTTTACTGTGCTAAACATCTGTACATCGAAATGTTTCCTTTCTAATTTCTTACCTTGACTTAACGCATGTAGTCATCAACTATCGAAAAGCTGTTATGTCAGATCCTCTCGCTGATACGGACTCCTGCCTGATGTATTGGAGTTATGCTGATCGTTCCGGTTATCAGATCATTCATACCACCGGTCTCCGATACAGATGTCGGATCAGCTAATCGCTTTGTAATATCCTGTCGTAATATCTAGGGAGCAGTGAACGTCCTATGCCGGTTTGATAGTTAATGAGAACGGGTTGTGTGATTACGCAGCTCTGGCCTGCTAACCTTGATTATCTTTTCCTGTTTCCTATGCCTTAATAGTAGGCACAGTTTTTTTTTTTTTTTGGAGCAATCAAGAAATTAGGCTGTTGTTATTTTCGTTTTCTTTTTTTTTGCACTCCGAACCATCGAAATGAGATACAAAAAGTGTAATTGGAAGAAGTAATTAACCTGAACAAAACCTCAAAAAAATATTGGAAGATACCAAAAGAGAACCTTCAGTTTTTCAAACAGAAAAAATAACTATCCGCCAATCAAACCATTATCAGGACTGAAAACCGCAAAATCGCATTAATGTAAACCAGATAAAGCACATCTTACATTAAGTCCTGGAACCGACTATCCTAATGGAGGGAGATACATTACGTGTAATCAACATATACTGAAAGGCAAAAAGGAATTTCTGCTACTTGCCCTTGTCCTGAATTTCTATTATATAATATTTTTCATTAAAACAAGACCAGATGAGAAAGGTTGACTTTCATTGCCTTGAACACTCCAATATTGCAAAAAACGCATGAAGTCTCTTCGGAAAGAGACATGGGTTGACAATAGGAGTTAGGAATAGATTTGATCTGTACTGTCACATCACAAAAGGTTGGCTTTCCGTTCTAGTTCGCTGTCCTATTTTAGGTCTTCTTTTTTTGTTCATTTGTGTACGATTTAATTTTTCAAATGATTCCGTCCTTTTGGTTAAGTTATGTTATACATTGTGACTTTTTTTTCCGATTATTAGTTGTTGTTTTTTTTATCTGTGAGCTATTATTGTTGGTAGTAGAATTATAGTTCTACCTGTAAGAAGTATTCACCGCTCTATGATTTAGGCACTGTGCTATTGTAGCAAGTAATTGTTTATTCTTTCTCTTTATCCCTTGGATTGTGAGTCCCCACACTGGGCACACACAGCCTCTATAATGTGGCAACGCTTATTTCTTTAAGGTGAAAACCAAAAATTCGAAAGTGATCCGGCAAAATTACCGCATTTCTTACCGTTGGCGTGGAAACAGTAGGTCTTTAAATAGAACTTATTACAAAACCCTTCGTGTGTTGTATAATGTGTTACATTATTTTTTTTTACACATGTAGGAATTTCCAAAATGATATTCAAGGTTTTGTTCTCATAAGTTTATTAGTTTCTTATCGATCTTGAACTGTTGCTTCATTCTCGACCCGTAAGTCATGGCAGAAAAGGTAGCACGTTTTATGCCGGTATTATTTCTATAAACGAAAAGGTTGTTATAGGTCGATAAGGAACTACTCATTTTATCTCAGCCTCCTAATGGTATATTGCCTTTATTTTCGCGGCCTGTTTGATTTAAAAGAGAAAGTGAGGGAATAAGGGATTAAAGTTGTAGCGCGTAATGATAAGGAAATAGCCCCGCTCACCTTTAAATGAGTCCGTAATCTGATGTCTATTGTGCAACCCCCACCCGACACCTGGAGATGATCGGTGTTGATTCAAGCCATGGCTGCGAAGTGCGCTTCATCATTACCCCGTTCCAGAACTGGTGCTGTCATCGTGGAGGCTCGGGGTGATTCACCACTCCTCGACAGGGCGGATAGCTGATAGGGTTGGCGCCGCTCCCAACGAAGGTTGTCTTGTCGTTGGCAGCGAGTCGCCGGAAAGTAGTAATCGGATTCGCTTGTTCAGCAAAACCGTCGAGCTTGGAGTCCAATTCTGCTCATTTCTTTCATTAAAAGATGGGTTTTAAAACCGCATTACTGGTCCCTGAAACAGAACGATGTTTATGGAGTGCAGTCTAGGAGAGGGAGACAAAGAATTCAGATTTATTTGTCTGTTAATGAGTATTGTCAGCTAATTATGTTTCGCAGGAGCTCATTAGAAAATAAATACGTAAGCTCAGGCATCAAAACAAGTTTATAATGAGAATTCCAATAGATGGAGTGTATATAATTTTGAGGGGTTTTTTTTATATAAATTTTATATGCATAAACATATTTGGAAGTTACATAAACATATACAGTCGCTGTTATAGAAATTTCCTTATCCTGTAAAAATTGTATTAAATTTACCAGATTGCTATCTGCAACATTTCCGAATGTTTCTTTGTTAGTTTTGAAACGATATTCTAAAAACAATCGCACCATTAAGCGGTCAAATTGTTCGTTTGTTTCCTTCTTCTCCCAGTTCCTTTCCTCGTTACTATTTCCCGTAAAAAATTCCACCACATAAGGTCTCGATTTTAATATTTTCTGACAAGGACAAGTTTTTTAAAATTTGTTTTTAGTTACAAATTTTATCCTGACATTAGTTTAAACTGAACTGAAAAACATTTTTAATTAAGATCGCCACTGTATAAATGGTGAACAGATTGTTAACACAATTCAACTTTTTAAAATGCCTATTTTTAAACTGATATATTTTAATTAAAAAAAAAAGGTTTTTTTTTCTCCTTTAAATTAACAATTTGTTTTTTATGGCTAACAATCGCATTTCGGAATAAATTGTAGCTCTCTGAATTGAGTTTTATTTTATTAAATTATTTTAATTTTTTTATAGTGTAATAGATGTTGTCAATAGACAACAAAATAAATTAATTTATAATGCAATTCAAACTTTAAATAATACTATCAAATAAACATTAATAAATTGCATTTTAGTCGCAAATATCTTCCAAGGTCGATAGATAGGATCTAAAAGTTTGTGAAAGTTAATAAGTTTCAAGCTATTATAGATTTTACTTTTTATGGATTTTTCACGTGGATTGTGTGTGCTCTGCCTTATTTGTAAATATATTGTTTGCTGTTATTCGAGAAGATTTCTGTAGTAAAGATATATTAGAGAATACGTTTGAATTCATTGGGGAATTTCAATATCGAGGCTCCAAATTATTTATAAGAAACTAAATTCAGGAAAAATAAATAAAATTGTGGTTGGAAAGCGTTAACTGTTTAAAAACTTGATATTAAGACTTGGTCTATTTCGTTGCTTACTGCTTATTTTGGACGCCAAATCTTCTCGCTTACGTCAAAGAACAAACAACGCATTTTGAATTTAGAATATTTTTCTTAACTGAACTGACTGCTGGTAAGAGTCCTAGAGATCGGCAAATACGTAAGTGGCAGATTTTCTTAGATATGATGATTTGTGTTTTAGGGAGGTTTGTCGACAAAGATAATCCATGTTATCAGCTTCAAACATCCTGTTTATTTATTTATTTTCTCTCATAAAAATAATGAAACAACCTAATATTTTTTACACTGTTGTCAAAATTTCTTTTAGTAATACTGACTAGAGGCCGACTGAGAGCGGATGTTCCCGCCAAGCGGGAGAGGCTATGGCTGCCAAATGTTGAAGGAGGTCGCGAGTAAACTTAGCAGATGACGCAGCTTTTGGCAAATCCGCTTCCGGTTCGCCATCATCTTCGCTAATACCGCTCAATGAGGTCTTGGCAACAGATCCAGGACCAGCGTGTGGAGTGTACACAGGTGTGCTTCTGTCGTAAGAGTTGTGGACAGAATTAGAACATTATCTCACTCCGTGCCTGTCCTAGCTTAGGATATCATTCCCGCGTTTTTTCTCCGCCTAAGACAACTCGTTCACCCAAAATTACTATTAAAAAAAATCGAATAATCGCTCTCCAAACATTAATCTGTGAATTAACTCCGCTTATTAACAGTTGGTAATCCGTAATCAATGAAGCTCCCATTATTATAATAATCGTTGGATTCGTAATTTTTTTTACGATTTTACAGAAGAACGATTTCACTACACCACTAGTAATAATGGTGGATGGGGTAAGAATTGTAATGTGGTGTAAACGATTTATGAGGAAGATACCCCATCTGTCTACCATGGATATGGAGAATTGAATATGTTACGTCATCATTTCGTTTTTCAGCCTCCTCCAATCATTATTTTATCATTCAGCCTAGGTGGTATACGAACTACAATTTCAGTAGTTAATTATGTGGCTTATATCCCTGATTCATTCAAAACAAAACCAAAATAAGTGAGTTTTATTTTGGGCTTCAGAATATAATTAATGTCTACCATTTTTGTTTATCCTCATCGTATCCTATTATTTAGTACCTTGCCAACTATTGGACGATTGGCTATGGGATAGGATGAGCACGGTGGTCCTTCAAAGGTAAACGACATTGTTGATTGGCTGCCAAACAGCATCCGGGTGGTTGGAACAAAAGGATATCTACTCGTCATATTTATTTTTACTAATATTTGGCGGCAATCTTTTATACCTCCCATCAAACAGTTTTTTTTTTTTTTTTTGGGGGGGGGGGTTATAAAATCGAGTTTATAAAATTGAGCTATATTTCACAAATTTAATTTTATATTTTATTTTAAGCTTTATGACGCCTTATAATTTGTTTTATTGTTTGTTCGTAATTTTCTTTTGGTGATTTTCTGTTAAAGATGTTTTCAGAAGATATGTACATTAAACTCATTTAGGCAATCTTTTTTTCTTAGTGAGCGGACAAAAAATAATCTACTGATGCATTGGTATAAAATAATCTAGAAATCCGAGAAAAGCCGATTTAAAAAAATAATAAATCTATTTATAAATAGTTTTTTCTCGACCCACAAGACCCTCTAAAAAGAACGCTAGGACATGTGTCTAATTTTTTTCGATGCTAAATAACTAAAAAAATAAATAAAATAGTTGAAATCGGCAACCCACGGTCTACTACTTCCTCTTGTTAGACATTTAATCAATTATGGGTAATTTTATTAATATTTGAGTATTAACACTTCACTGTTATTTCTTGTGAAATATAATTTCTCTAGTTTAAAAATAAAAATAAAAGTTTTCTATTGCTGATAATATATGGATGAATTTAAGATTTCGAGTTTTATGGCTTTTATTTATTCGTTAAAAGAAGGTCAAAAGGAATAATTTGTTTGGAAACGTGTACGTGTCTACTTTTAAAACAATATATACAAATAAAAAAAATTAAAACACGTGTCCATTTGATTTAGCTATGCTGTGTCAATTTTTATATCTTAATGATTGAATGAGGTATTTAGTATTGCAGTGACCTATATTTGACCTACCTATATTTAATGATTGAATGAGGTATTTAGTATTGCAGTGACCTGCATATATTTGTATATCATCAAAATATTTTTATATTTATCTTTTAATAAATCAATAAATTTGTGTTTATTCAATGCAATATTCGTTGGATGTTTACATATTATATTTTTATTTTCGGGAATTGTAAATTAAAACTCAGATATATTTATATCTATTTTAATTTTTGATTCTTACTCGTTTATCGCAGTGTTATTGACTATCTTTTCTTTAGCTCAATTTTATTATTTTCATCCGTTGTCTGTTTTTAATTTATTATTCATTTTTCCTCAAAATACATTGTAGTTTTGTTATGTTTTTCTGCCCAACTATCTAACCACTTAAGTTATAAAAATACCTGAATGAATCATGTTGGTTCTTTATGAATAATGCATATTTTAACATGGGATTTTTGAATTGTATGCAATATTTACTGGAATAAAAATGAACAGGCTACATTTCTGGTGAAAGCTTTACAAAACGCCGTCTTCCAATTTATGAGTTTTGCATTTTGATGCATCGCCACATGAAATATGCACAATTTAAGTACCCAGTTAAGCCTGGGTATGCTCGCTTCTTAGCTGACGAATGGCCGAAGCCCGAACGATGAATTTGAAAGAGACAAATCTCTGTTTCAAGATTTGAATCCAATGGCCTCATTCGAGAGAAAACTGTAACTGAAAACCGCTTTCCCTCGCCTGTGTCATCCAGTAATTTCGTCTTGTAGCAATTAAACCTCGGCTTGGTTTTATTGAGCAATAAAAGAGGACTTATCTACCGTGTGAGAGCCCTTAGTACCATTTTATAGTTTGAGTACCTCGAGGGTATAACTTCAATTATAAAATTAAAGCTTTAATGATATAATTTATTTCGATAGGTATGTTATGGACTGTTTTCATTTCCCATCGCTTATATATATTTATCTCGTCATTAAAAATAAATATTCGAATTTATATTGTGTAGATATGTTTGGCCAATTACAACTAGAGCAGCTGTTAGAAAAATTAATTTGTAGAAAACTCCCACTATCCGCTGATTAGCTCGTATTTTTTCCTCCGATATTACAGTCTATTTTAGCCTGATAAGCATCATATGAGTAAGTTTGTAATAAGAATAACTAAAATGCATATATTAACTTTAGTAAACTGAGTTCTAAATCGAATATGTTTTTTCTTTTTTTTTAAATTATTTTTTAATATTTACAACTGTATTAAAGAAATACATATAGTAAATTTGAACATATGGATATAATGACGTGAAAAAACTTGTTGAGTAACTACGCAATGGTAGCACTCTAATTATATGTCTACCTTAGGAGATCACGGGGCCATCTTATTTTTAGACGCCTCGGAGGGTTATCAGGACTTGAAGAGGAAGTTAGGTTAGAAACAGGAGGGTTGGGATGGTTCTGAAGTTTATTATGGAAGGAAAGGTATCTGGATTGAGCCAGATCTAAAACATAAGAAACATTAAGGTCATTATGGATGGTTTTATTTGTAACAAAGTAGGGAGCATTGAGGATTTTACGAAGGATTTTGGATTGTAAGGATTGAATACGAGAGGAATTCGACGGTTTAGTGGAGCCCCATAGCTCACCTCCGCAAGTCCAAATAGGCCTTATTATAGTCATGTATACGAGTATTTAGAAATTAATTGTAAGTTTAGAGCGTTTGTCTAGTAAGTGCTGGAGTAATCGGAAACCTCGAGCGGTTTCTTGTCGTTTCAGTCTGAAATGAAAATCGAATATAATGTTGATTAAAGTAAAAATATGCTATATTCTTGCTAATACTAGTCAGATTTAAATGATTTATTGCAATGTGTCTAGAACTTCATTAGCTTTAAAATAACCAATGATATTACGAATTGTTTTACGTTTTTTTGTTGTTTTTTTTAGTACTTTTCTCCACTGTGGTTGTCCTTGACCTAAATATCCTTTATGATATTTTTCCATCCTTCTATATCTAAGGTTTGTTCTTCTCTGATGCCATGACCCACCAATTTTTCTTCCACCGCGTCTTTCCATTTTACCCCTGGTCTTCCCTTTTTCCTTCTCCCTTCTACTTGCAGCTCTATACATATTTTTGGAAATCTTTCAAGCGTTATTCTTTTCACATGTCCAAACCAGTATAACCTTTTCTTTTCATTATTTGCTGTAATGTTTGTTTCCGCCTCCATCATTTCCAGAATTCTTTCATTTTGTATTCTTTCCCTTCTAGATTTTCTTGCTGGTGACCTTCTTTTCCGGTGTCTTGGATTGATGACCCATGTCTCCGATGCATATGTCGTTATTAGCTCGAACGTAGCCTTGTATATAGCCTCTTTGTACTGGGCTGTATATTCGAGTTCCAAAGGATACTGTTGAGTATTGCTATGACCATTCTTCCTTCACCAATTCTTTTGTCGATATCATTGGTGGATTTGCGTTCTCATTTAAATATCCCCTTTTCCTTAAGTCACATGCTATATAATATATTGTACATAATATAATTCCCATAAATAATTTGGGAACTACCTAGAGATTATAAATAAATAATAATAAAAATAAATAAATAAGTTGTCTCGCGTTCTATAGCAATGACTGACGAAACTCTGATGTCATATTACGTAGGTCAAAATGTAGGCAATACAATAAACGTTACTCTCACATATTGTATTACGTGTGTTACTGTTCACGATAACCTCTTTCTAACTTTTACTAAAATTAGAACTACGGTGAATTATTCTTATTTCATAATTGGTTTGTTTACAACATTCAAGATTCTACCTCAGAAATAGTTCGAAATAATTGACAATATATCAAAATCATAAAATGTAGAGAAAAATGTTAATTATTTATTTTTTTAAGTGTTTTTTTGAAATTTATAAATATGACTTTGAAAAAACCTATACACTAGTTTAATTTTAACTTTACATTTGCATTATTTTATTTTATTTATATATTTCAAGCTGAATAAATATTTTTTTAAATAACTGTTGTAGTTGAGCTGTGCCAATACTTGCTCAACCAATTACCTTCCATTGTTGCAGCCTTCAACATTCCTTCATCCCACCTCATGTCACTTTAAAAAAACTGGTTATTAATTTTCTCCTGCTCTGATTAATATTAATGAAATCAGATCTTTGTATTCAATACTTAAGTTACTTTGTCATGCAATATTTAAACAAATACATTGTTGAAACTCTGATCATATCAAAATTCTGTGAGTTCATTGCAGAGAGGATACACGCCGAGATATACGCCGCAGATAAGTTATGAGAATTTTTATTTTTTAAGATTGGGTCACCTTTAACCTTTTTGGCCTCAGCTACGATTCCGCATTCATTTAAGAAAGGAATCCTTTTCTCGAGAGAATTTCTTTTAATTGGACTAAGAAAGTAAAAGCTTCAAGTTTGGAGGAATGCCGCTGATGTGGGCGGTACTAATGATCCTTACTGATTGGAAGAACCGATCGGTCCCTGATTGACTTTCCTCCGAAGGTCGGAGTTCTTCGGTAGAAAGTGGCGGAGTGTGGCTGAGGACCTGCTGTCGTGGAAGGCTATCCACTTTGGCATTTCCATATCGTTCCCCTCATCTCCGATAGATCCTCAAGGGTCCTGCTAAAGAGGCCATCTTAACGATCTCCGTTGGCGTGCGTTACTAATCCGTCTTCTTTGTATCACTAATTCTGACCATATGTCAGTCTCGCGGCCATATGTTCCTTTGTCATGTTAATTCCTACAAAAGGCAACGGTGAACTCCTTGCATGCTCAGACGTTTTATGTTAGTTGAAATTCATCGATTAATTTTTGGTAAATGAAATTCCAATTACGTATTTACTTTCTCTCAATCGTATAGAATCGAGCGTTTCCAGAAAAAAAATCATCTGAAACACATTGTTGGATTCTAGATGTTTTGGGTAACCGAAATAAGTAATACATATATTTTTATTTTATGAGCATCATTTTAAGCTAAACTAAAATTTTTGAAATCCTTTATGCTATCTTATTTTTCAAAAGTTTTGACCTGTGATGCTATTCAATACTCAATACAATCATACATTCAATACAATTTTCATAGCAATCATAGAATTAATATTCATTATCTGAATTAACGAAATCTGAGGGAATGGGTCCTCCATTTGAATTACTTTGAAAATCAGAAAAAATGTTATAACTTCAATACGTCTTAAGCTATCTACCAGAAATTTAGCGGGAATTTAGGGCCACATAAGCTACACAAAATGACATCAGCAGAACCTTCGCAAACAATTTACAAATAGAGTTAAAAAATAAAAACCTATAGGGAGGTTTTGTTTTTTTATTCCTTATATAGACATTACATCAATATGGCATTGAAGAGCTACAATTCAGCTTTCCAACGGATATAGTATCATTGAATTTGAAGAACAGGAGAACATTGAATGTAAAGTGATATTATTTCGACTAATTCTTACATTTTCAGGAAGCAGTAATTAATCAATTATTAAAGAGTTAATCGCATATTTTAATTAAACAAATGATTAATTTATTATCAATAAAACTATTAATTGTTTCACAGATTCTAATAGCGTTACTCTTTGATACCAGCTATCGAAACACGTATTAAAAAGTTGCTTACAATTGTTTTTGTTGAAAAATGATTCAATGATAATATATTTCAAATTTCTAAAAAATAGAAAATAAAAAATCTTAGATACCCATAACACCGACCAATTTATTTTTATCATTAACTAAATCAATAAATTTAAAAAAGAGCCGGTCCAATGTGAAGTCAAGATAAAATCAATTTTTTGTTTAGTTTCGAAACAATTTATGACATAAAGCTTGTTTAATTTTTTATGTATGTCTCACATACTTATATATCATAATAAATAGAAACTTATGTAACAATGCCACAAGTATTTTTCTTTTGAGAACTTTGTTCGTACAGTTGGGAGCTTTGTTCTTCAATCTAGAGAATACTGGAATCTTTAAATCAACATGTAAGCATGTTATTTACATTTAAAGTCTAATCTGTCCATCACTGGGCACACTGTCTATAACTAGTGCATTCACCCTAATTGTTATTTATCTTTATTTTATTTTATCTTTAAAAATGTTAAGAGAGGCGAGACGATAGTCCTGTTCTTCTCTCCATTTTTATAGGGGAAGCGATCATCTTCCCTCGCCCCTACATATTCTCGTGAAGTTCGCCCCTATGGTTAATAATGCTATTGGATGTAAGGTAGAGGAGAAATCGGGTAACGTAAGTGCAACTAATGCTGTTATAATGACCCTACATAAAAAAGCCTATTGAAGAGGTAAGCTTATGGTTTAATGGTTGTACGATAGTATCGTATCTGGGTGTTCCTATATCGATAGTATCTGTGCGCTTTGTGATAGCATAGCAACTGTGTGTTCTCTCTTGTCTGGAACGTGCATCGTACGGACCCTCTTGTAACTGGATCACTTTCAATTGCTTCTTTACTTTCTCATTTCCTAATTGTATAATTGAATATCAGCAATATGGCTCTATTGAATACTATCAGCCTTTAGGAAACAGGTTTTTCCTCTATTGTCAATACAATCTGGACTCGGGTATCTGTGCGTTCTATCCCCTCCTTTCTCTACTAAATCATACGTTTCGAACGGGTCTATCTGCACTCTGCCAAACGATCTGAAAGAAAAAAAAAAAAGAAAGGTCTGCGGTGGTCGGATAATCGGGACAATGTCCGGGCATTATTGATTTCTAAATAGGCCTAATAGCTATGCTGGATGGTATTGTTGCCGGAGGAAACGGGCCTTACTGCCATTGTGTCCTCGGTGAACTTTCTTAATCGGCGCTCTTCCTTTTCACCCCGAGCCATCATTTTGTAGAAAATCATTAAAGGTCTACTAAAGGACTGAAAAGATTTTATTTTTTCCTTTTTTAGGCCTTTCACTTGATGGATAGATACAGGAGAGAGCGTGTCGTTTGCTCCGGCTCTACTCTGTCAATGGTTAGGAGGTCTCTGGGTTTAATTTTATCCTATAAAGCGCTGGCGGGTCTGTGTAGAAAGACCTTTCGGGCTGAAGCCCCCCTCCCAAAATGGAAAAATAATTAATTTTTATAAGGGTCCACCATGTTTGTTTATGCGTGTGATATCCAAGCTAAACACTTAAAAGATCATAAGAAATTTAACTCTAACGTCAATGTTCCTGTAGGTCCCCTCTTTCTTCTTTTTTTTTTTTTCAAGAACTACCTAAATATCATTTCACATTGGTACCTTTTTAATTTTATTCTTTAATTAAATTCGGAATCTGGTAATGCTGTGAGAGATGTCTGCTTTTATTTACTAAATGGCTCCAATATGGTCTTACCTAATCCTGAATAGATCAGTTGTCCATTAAGAAAAAAACAAGTATATATTGATATGCTTAGGCCTTAAGTTACTTTTGAATATAATAACACCATATGAAAATTTGCTGAATATTTTTTTTTTAAAAAACACCTGAATCTCAAGGTTTAGCTAAAAGATTACAATACGTCACACCACATGTGCCTATTAATGCACAATAACTATAAGAAAATTGCCATTTTTTTTTCACATCCGCCAGGTAAACATTGTTGCGACTGTATTATCTCTGACACAAAGAACTGAAAAATACTTATCATTGTTCCTTTAAAAACTCTTATGTAATAAAACCAATTTATTTTTAGGACATGAAGAAACTCATGCAAAAGCCGTGTTGCTTGATAATATAATCCACGTTAAAAAAAAAAATTCAAGGTTTAAGTAAATTTTAACTATAAAATTGTTAATATTTAGTAAAATTATTAACTCTTCATACATGAAAATTATAGCGATATGAATTGTATTTGTCATTAGTGATTTTTAAGATATTTTCAGAGAAATGAATGAAGATTTTCAAAATGGATTCGTTTTTAAAATACTTCAATTTCGAAGAGTATTAATCAGTTTTTGGTAATATTTATAGTATTCATAATTTTTTTGTTATTTTCCTTTAACTTTAACTATTTATTTAAAATATAAATTTATAAATGGTTAAATATTTCAATATTTATATAATATTGTCAATATTTATATAATGGTTATATATTTTATAATATGGTTTAATTATTTCGATACAACGCTGTTCACACAAGATGCCCTGAGCCCCAAAAGGTATCTTTTCTTAATGTTATTAATAATAAACTAATAAGTAACTGCAAGACTGTTGCGAGACTCTTAGGCAAGACCAAGACCATGACCAAGACTTGAGTTTGCAAGACCAAGACTCGTCTCGGTCTCGCATCTGGGCAACACTACTTCTAATATTAATTCTTAAATTATTAATCATTATAAAATTATAAATGGTGTCTAAAAGATTGGAATTTTTATTAAATAACCTTTTTTTTTTTTACTCAAGTTGTAAATGTCAACATTGATTTCAGGATTCAAGGGTAGAGATATTATGTTTCGCGCTAAACTCGTTTTGACCTAATTATTGAAGGTTATTAGGGAAATTATAAATGCAATGGTGTCGTTTAAGAGATATACCAATTAATAGGTGAATGCGATTTTCTGACTTTTATTTTTAAGTTAAATTCGTCAAGTTTCCAAATAAACATATATCATATTTGGATTGAAGGACTTAAAAATGACTGTTCATTTCACAAAATCGAAATTTGGAATCGATCGTTTAATACAAAAAATGAAATGGTTATTATTTAAAACAAGTTTCTGATTTTAACAAATTTACAATCTCTTTAATTTATTTGTATGTATAATATATCTACTGATTGTTTAATTTATTCATACAGTAAATTAATTTTTATTCACAATCATTGCTATTTTTTTATTACGAAATGTAAGTTTCTGTTTCTTCCATATTTTAGTTTTTAAAAAGTCTTTTTCCTTCGTCACATTACGTTTAACTTATTTTGGCCCATGAAGGAAAAAAATACAATCTTTTTTGTTTTGTTGATATTCCGTGATATTTTGCTGCAAATTTTGTGATTTTTACAGTTAATTTTGTTGTATATTTTAATTTTTTATTTTACTAAATAAAAGCGGGTTCTTCCTATAAGATATCTGATAATCATGCCACTTATGTGTAGAAAAAAATATATACTTAACCAAAAGTTGAAGTAGTAGTAGTATTTTTTTTTTTTAGTTAGTTTCCATATTGTCTTTAGCCAGCAGATATGAAAGAGGTTTATTAGATCTATGAGCACAAACTGCACGATTTACGAGTAAAAGGATTCGGTGAATAGCCACGAAAAGCACCCCTTGGGAACCGTGGCACACACCTCACGGTGACTTCGTCGTGCTTGGAAGCACCCCCTGTGTTGACATCCCGTTGTTGGGATGAGGTAAACTGCTCCGTTCCCGCAATAGCAGTTACTTGGAAACCTGTTATGTAAAGTCGGCCCCTATGCCGGAAAATCCCTCCAATTTAATAGATGTGGCTGTCAATAAAAATATGTTATGTACTCTCTTGCATAAGGCGAGTTTTCTTCCTCTTAAAAGTTTTGTATAGGGGCGCTTTTTATAGCCTATTGTACTGTTAAAGCCTTGCATTAAACATTTCTGAGTTATTTTCGTAGTTTCACTCGA